CAAGACTGCTTATAAGTGAATAATGATGTTGATGTGGGGACTTAAAGTTTCTTATACCATGGGCTGTCATGTCATAATTGAGTTAGATAAATTTTATCGCCGAACAGATGGTTTCCTGATGTGTCTAATTATCCGTTACATAAACATCTACAGGTGGATAGCCTTTTAGCTTTTCGGTTACAATAGTTGCATGCTAAAATTGGGCATTGGTTTGATTTTACTAGGTTCGTTTAGTTTGGAAAGAAGTGATAACAGGACACAATTATGCAACCAGAGAGCTCGTGCGGGAGGTATTAGAAAGCCCCAAGTTGAGACTCGTTCCTCACATCGGCCCTATTAGTCTTTTCCCATTCATTGGAAGGATTATACCAGCTGTAAGTTGTGTCATCTGATTGAATACTCTACCGATTATGTATCATTATTGTCATGTAACCATAAGACCACTTCTCTCTTGTTTGATATAGGATTCAAGGATTTTGGAAAAACAGCTAGACCTTATATCAAATCGGAGCATCTTATGGACAGATTATGGACTCCGCTCTCTTGCCAAAACAAGGTGATCAAGTATACAGATTATGTAAACTGAATTGGTTTTCATGGTAGAATTAATTTTCCCCTGACGTCTGAGGACCATGTTAATTCGGAAGCACTAAATATTTTCATCTTTTATGCGACAGTTCCGTGTACATGAAACGCAACACAGAGCATGATGCCCCTTACTGGAGGGGTCCAATATGGATGAACATGAACTACATGATTCTATCATCGCTCCATCATTACTCTAGAGGTACACAGCTTACCGCCTCCCGCTATGAAGATTGAAGCATTATTCTTTCTTTTATAACTGTCGTATTGTTTGAATTGTTTCAGTGGATGGACCATATAAAGAAAAAGCGAGAACCATCTACGACGACTTGAGAGGCAATTTGATTAGGTATGTTAAGCCATTCTGTCCATGTAATGCTGAATCTGCTATGTTCAATGGATTTAAACATGTTTCCCGTATGTTGCAGAAACGTCGTGAAAAATTATCACAAAACCGGGTTCTTCTGGGAACAATATGATCAGAGGAACGGCAAGGGAAAAGGCGCACGCGTATTCCATGGCTGGACATCTATCGTGTTGTTAATCATGGCAGAAGCTTACTCTAGTTAGTGAGCGCATCATAGGAAAAATTGATAGTTGGATTCTGATACGTACAAGGCGCAAGGCTCTTTAAAAGCGATAACGTCGAAAATGCCAGAATGAGCAATGTGGTCTAATCTAGTCCGAAAAGAATGGTGATACCGTAGTGATACCGGTGGAGTCTTCAATTTTCGTTTCTTGAACCCTACCGTTACTACTTGTACTGATACAAGAGAGCTTAGAAGCGATTTTGGTTGTTAGAAAACACTTTTAGCCGGTTCAGGTTCTTTTAAGCAGTCTCAAACAGTACTAATGATATATTTGGAGCCTGACAAGATGAGAGACCAAGGAACGTATACCCATTACCAAATAAGAGTTAATGTTCGTTGCAAATGATGCAGGTAGAAAAATGAGTCTCATCTCTCTCTCTGGTGGTCAGCTAAAATGATTTGGATGGTTTAACTCAAAGCCTCTGTTAACGGTTCAAGGGTTATCGCCGGCCACTGCCACTGATAGCTAAATCAAACGCAATAATTTAAATATAAACAAATTACAATTAACAAACCAACAAACTTTCCGTCTTAGCTTCCGTTCTCTGTTGTTTCTGTATCCTCTGCCATTATAATCTCCATATCCCGGATATCTCGCTTCAAAACATTGCCTAGTCTCGCAATAGCTTCCGTCTGCTGTTGTAACACCTGCTCCACAAAAACGACCAATTCATTTACCCAATTCTGGTGTTATTATATAAAGGAGTGTGCCTTTAAACGCCGATAATATGTACAGTTTTCTTTTCCGAAATCAAATATTGTGCATAAGATAGGGTTGAAATATTCAGGAGGTGAGATGAAAAAGAAATTTTCCAAACTAGTCCACTCTCACCTCTTGCATAGCAGCGAGACTCTGTTCATGGATTTTGGTTGATCCTGGAAGATAACCTAAAGCACCCGCACCAATAGAATTCTCTTGGACACGGGATATGGTTAGCAGGTTTTGTACCCTCCTAGTAAGCTCAGCTCCGGATCCTTTCAACTGCAAATCCATTTGCTTGTTAGTATCTTCACCGAATGACAGATGACAAGTAGGATGCATAGAAAAGGGATGAAGGGCATAGTAATGAAGTACCTGTCTAGTAACTGCAGCTAACTTCTCGGCCAATTCTACTTCACCTTTCATTAAGGGCAGTCGGAAACCCTTGCCCTCTAGTGCCTCCAGTATTCTCATCACCTTTCAGAATAGCAAAAGAAAACAAAGATGTCAAAACACTTGGCCAATACAAAACGCATAAGCTACCTGCACAAGAACGGTTTAAACCCTCCAAGCAAACAACAATCATATACCCAGACCTCTGGTTGTTGGTTAAGCACTGTCAGTCACAACGCCACATTGCGAGGACGGTATTTTATTCTAAGCCAACTTTAAAAATAACAGAGGCAATAAGGGACAATGAGGTGTGAACCTTATTTTCCTTCATCATTAAATGACGTTTTTAGCTCAAGGTAGACTAGAAATTTGAAGCTAATGATGAAACTCATGTTACTCAATATTTACAGAACTCATCTTACTCAATATTTACAGTTTCTCATATATATATAGCAGAAAGTGTACTCACCCTCAAAAGGCGCCTTTGAAGACCTTGTTCTTTTTGTCTCATTCTCTCGATCCAAGGAAGAGTATCAGCTTGAAAATGCCTTTGAAGCTGCAAATGATACAAGGCATGAAACCATTTTCAAATTTGTGGTAAAAGTAGATGGGCATTTGAACAATAAGTGATACCATCTTGACATTGCTTTGGGTCATTTGCAATCTCTCAGCATCTGAAAGAAGGACTTCATCTTGGAGCTGCATGAACTCAGTTTGAAACATCACACATTACTAAACGATAACAAATTTCTCCAAATACATAAGTTGGTGTCACCATGCAAGAACAAAAATTAATTTTTCCTTTTCTCCATCTCATCAGCTATCAAAACTGGTTCTCGCAATTTTTTTTTCTACTCAAACCCCATATTAGTTCAATACTTGCATCATAGCAATGATCCAACTATAGACATATGGGACAACAACTCTGGTGGGTAATCAACAATTTTACAGAATTGTTCGCCAAATCTCAGTCAGTAACTGCCATCACAGAACTCATAGAGTCATAAATACCCCTGGACTGTAACATCTCCAAAATTTGCATTCACGAACACCAACTAGTGAATTTTAAGTTTTAACTAAAAGAAACCCTCAAAATAATACTTAAATGTACTATTTCCAAGTAGTAACAATATAAGAAACAGCCAACAATACTCCAAACAATATCGCTACGCTTCAAACTAATAACAATTACCTTCAGGCGTTGAGAGAGATCTTTAAATCCCTGAACAAGCTGAGGCCACAGGCGTTCCCTGTCAGTACTTTCCAGACCTTCGAGCTTCGCCATAGCCTCTGCCCACATAATCTGGCAATGCAAACTATTCTCCAAACTTAGCCGGAAAAAAGAAAGAAATTAAACCTGATAATGCCCGTAACACCTAGTAAATAAAAAAGGGGAACAATATACTCACATCCGATACACCAGCAGGCTTCACCCTGAACTGCGGATCAGTTACGCTAAACAGCAAATGCTGCAAAAATCAAGACAGTCATTCATTTCTCATACGGAAGTCCACAACTAAGCTCGTCAAAGGCAGACAGATATTAAAATCTAGAGTTTTAAATCAAACATGAACGTCACCACTTGGCACCTTCTAAAACAAGCATAATTTTGCAACCTTACTTCCATTTTCTCAGCAACCAAACAGACAGGTATAGATATCATGGGCGGGAAGGCAATGCATTCGAAATTGTAACAAAATCAATAAAAATAAACTAGAAGACAAACCTTAAAAGCATATTTAGGGTTTCCAGGCTCGTCCTTGTAAGCGTCAACAATTGCCTAACGCAAAAAACCATAATCCGTCAAATCAAAACGAAATTGAAAGCTAGGGTTAGGGTTTCTGCACTGAATAATCAATAACAAAAAGGAAAACAATACTTGAATATCGCGATCGGCGAGAGAGAAAGGGAGAGGAGCGACGGGAGCCATCTGAGTCGTCAATTGAGAGTTAGGGAAGGGCGTCGGCTGCTGCGGCGTAGTGAACGGGCTCTGAAACCCAAAGCCGCCAGCAGACTGAGGCTGCTGAAACGACTGCGTTTGCTGCTGAGTTTGAGAAGAGAATGGAGTGTTGAATAAGGAGCCGAAGCCACCGGTGGAAAATGCAGACGTCGACGGAGTTCCAAAGGCCGGAGCCGGAGCCGAAGGAGTAAAGAACGACGGGGTCGATGAGGGCATCCCAAAGGTCGGGGTCGACGACGGGGTGCCGAAGGCTGGGGTCGACGACGGCGTCCCGAAGGCGGGGGTCGACGACGGCGTCCCGAAGGCGGGGGTCGACGACGGCGTCCCGAAGGCGGGGGTCGACGACGGCGTCCCGAAGGCGGGGGTTGACGACGGCGTACCAAAAGGTGACGACGAAGATTGAGCTCCGAACATTGTCGCTGGCTGATGCTGCTTCTCTCTCGCTGTTGAATGTAGAGAGAGAGAGAGTGGTGTAGCTCAGCAGTTCAACGTTTTGCCTCTGCCTGCTTTTTGGTTTCTTTGTCTCCGCTTTTTCTCTCACTAGATTTTGTGAAAAGATTAATTTCATAATTTTGGAGATTCTTGGTTTTTATTCCGAAGCGTGACGTATCTCAATTCCCAAAGAGTTGAATTAAAACTTCAACGGAGTCCGGAATGGCTAAAAAAGTTTCAGTTCACTCCGATTAACAGATTTACATAACACACGTCCTCGTAAAGCTTTCAACGTGGAAATTACTTATGTTTAAGCACGAATCTAAAACAGAGAGAATACTTGACTTAAAATTCTATCATTTCCATGAGACCACTGGCCGTGGTTTAAAGGTGTAGTCTATATTCTGCCTTGGCCAGACTATCTCTCTCAAAGTGATCCGATGCGGATTAATCAAATGCAATCAAGTTAATTAACAACAGAGAGCAATAAATCCCAAATCAAGTACATGATAAAAGTAGATTGAACTCCTATCAATGCACGAAGCCCCAAATCAAATACATTATAAAAGTAGACTGAACTCCGATCAATGCACGAAGCTGAGCTTCGTGCATTGATGAAGTTCGTAACAAAATGCGTTAACCCTAAAGTACTAGTCCGGGCAACAGAACAAACAAATGCACCTACACACGAGTCCTAAAATCCATTCAATGCTTGAAGTTCAGCAACTGTTTTTAGAGCCTTACGAAGGTCCTCCAACTTTCGGGCACACCTTACAGTTTCACACCTTGATGGTAACACAGCACAAGCAGGGACCGGACAGCTTTACCTCAGAAGTCAGCCACTCGGATCCTGGTGCTGCATTTGGATCGTACAACAAAGTACGATAACCAGGATCCTCCTCGAGTGAAAACAACAGAAGTTTGTCATCCAGTATCCCAAATCGGAGCTTGATGCTTGTGCTTCCTGTCAACGGAATCTGCACCATCTCCCAAGAATTGTCGTCAGGGTTGTAAATTGAAAGTTTCCGCTGGTTCCTCCACTCCAAACAGAACAGCTTCTTTTCCAGCACAGCATGAGCAGTGACCATGACACAACCATTCTTCTTCATCTCACCCCAAGTGTGACTCTCAGGGTCGTAGACATCAACAAACTTTGAATTTCCAATACTGAAGCTTGACCTTCCGCCCATAACATACAGCTTTCCTTCAAATCCACAGGCAAAGCAACCATATCGAGGACGGCGAATACTGCTTATCAGGGTCCAAGTATCGGTGTCAGGATTGTACACCTCGGCACTGGATAGACTGCTGCCATCTATACCATATCCCCCAACAGCGTAAATCATACCACTTAGTTCTGCACAAGCAAAGTCATGTCGAGCAACATTCATGTTTGCCAATTTGCCCCACCTACAATTACGAAAGAACTATAAGATTGCATTTATATATTACGAAGTTAAGCTTGTGCGAGGAACCATTTAACATACAGCATTTGTTAAATTCCAATCATGCCGGTGAAATTAAGTAGCCAATGTAAGGAAAAATACGGGACATTCTTATACTTTATGAAGGGTTAGCAGAAAGGAAATTAAAGGAAGAGACTAATCACTGAAAATGGACACAAAACAAACCTGTTGAGGCAAGAATCGTATTGGTACACATCTTCTGATGCAACGGTGGTCCCGGGAATCGCAGAATATCCACCAACGACAAGAAGCTTTCCATTAAGAACCGCCACCCCAAATCCAAATCTTGTTGGACCAGGCATGGGAGGAAGAACATGGTGCTTATGTCCATGGCAATCTAAAACCTCCCAGTGGTTTTCCTTTCCTTCGGAATCGGTTCAAAACATAGAGCCACTCCTCAAGCAACCCAGCTAATTGCCGCACAGTGATAAGTTCTTTGCTTTGAAGAAAATACCTCCATTTCTTACACACGCCACCCATAGCAGGGAAGTCTGAATGAGGAACAAGCGCTAGACAATATTTTGCTACGTCATCTGGCAGTCCCGGCAGGATGGGGCTCTCAGAATCATCTACCTCCAGAGAAGTCAAACTGCGATAGCTTTTTGCACCAATTGGTGCATCTTGCTTGACCAAATTCGATCGGCACATATTTGGATCTATAAATCTCCTCTTTTCAGTCACAAAAGCCAGAATTTTGTAGATTGAGAAGCTAGTTACGTCAGGGGAGATGCAGGTTATCTCACCTATGATCACTTAGGTATCTCCCAAAAATGCGTATTCTTCTTTAACAGCAGACTTTTGAGTAAAGGAATTCATGATATCCGTCACCTATAGGAATTTTACAAGACCAAGGCATAAAATATGTCGCAGAACGCACCACACAAGCAGTATACGCTGGCAATTTTCTGTGTTTTGTCCAGTCGGGTCCAAATTCCATAACAATAGTTCTGCTCCCAAAGTAGTTGCTCCCTAACTTATTTCTTGCTCCACACATTGCCCAAGTATCTGCATATCGTCGAGCAAACTTAGTGGATCCTCGTTTTAAGTAAAGGAACAAAAACGATAAACATTCTATCTGCAGTTGAGGAATAACCGAGTAAGATAGGTCGGAAGAAATCATACCAGTCAATGCCATATACTAGGCAGGTTTTAGCCCCCAGTAACTTCCATAACATGTCCAGGTTGAGAATCACCTGAATGAATCACAAATGAGTCAAAAAATTCAACTCAAAGATAAACACCATACAAGCACTTCAAACAATAAGGCAGTGATCGGGGATTCAGATAGCTGCAACCGAAAATTCAATTAAACAAACTATACTACACAATTACGCATTAAGGGAATACAATTCGGTTTTCCTAATCGAATATTTCATACTTTGTTGTATCCTGGAAGTGATTTGCCAAATAACCCTTTAGCAAACTCATTCAAGTGGGGGCAAATAACACTTTAAGGAAACGATTCAAGTGGTACCTCAAAGTGATCCTTCGGATTATTCTCCATAATTCTACAGTTACTCTAACAGCATCACTTTCCGGGGAATGTAAGAACAAGACCAAAATTAACCATTTGTCACTTTAACTTTGCAAAAACTTGTAGAACAAAGACATGAACACCTAAGATTGATACGAGTGATGAGCAGATCAATTACCGGTCTTCATAGTAAAGGCCGGCAGCGGAAATATTTCAGACCGGCCAACGAAGAAACCTACCCATCCGCGTTGTTTAGCTAATTAGATTCAAAAGTTGTTAAACCAAAATCAAATTTATAGTGAAAGCTAGTGGTTCCGCCAGATCTAACATCCTTGCCCGGATACAACAAAAATGGATCACAGATAACCAGATCTATATAAAACCAACAACTGAAATCTCACACCAACAAAGAAGATATAGCCAAGAAATGTGTGCACATCTGCACAAATTTCTGCTCCTGGAAGCTTAAACCGCTCTAATTACATCATAAAAGCTATAAGCCAAGGGTTTAAGATTCACACTCTCAACAAAAATCTGAATGAAATCTTAATACACCAAATCAACAAATAAATATGTTGGTTTGGGTTGGCTAAGCTAAGCTGCGATTAGTGAAACATAATCATGCATAATTAAAGCATAAACTATATGCAGACCTGGCAGTAATCATATTGGCTAAACCAGTATGCTCTCCCAAATCTTCTCTCGTAATTTAGATTAGATTAGAATAACGCTCGAATTGAAAACAACATAAACTTAATCCAAAAGAGAAAATGGAAGGTGAACCTGATTAGGAAATGTCGAAAACAAGAGCATATATAGAGCAAAGTAGGAATGTAAATCTGAGATTAACAGAAAGGATTAACGAAGATTACCTAAAATAGAAGGGGATTATCCAAAAAAGTATTGCGGAAAATTGGAGAGAAATTAGAACGTGTGGAGGAGGAGGCTAAAATTAGAAACAATCAGAATTTTTTACTAGGTGATTGAGAGAGCGGAAGAAGAGGAGTTTTATAGGACCCGAAATGCACGGGAAAAGGATTAAAGTTTGAACTGACAAAAAGGCCCCGACCACGCCAGGGTTCGGAAACAGACCCAACAGGAGGATTCTTTTGGTGTGGATTCTGAAGATTTATGAAGTGTGTTCGTTTATCGTATATCTTGCGATTAATTTTTTGTCAAATATTATTTATTTTTATTTTTAAATAAATATATTTAAAATAATTTATGATTGCATGATGTACGATGAAATGATACAATTCACAAATTTCTGGAATCCTCACGAATAGAATCCAATGAGGTTCCGAACTCAAAACAAAGGGGGAAAATAAAAAAAAAAATTATTTATTATTTATCGCGTAATCTTTTTATTTAGTTTTATTTGATTGTCGGGAATGGAGTGGGGTAATTCTAAGGCGTATTGACTCGGAGATTGGTTTGTGTGTGAATGATCTGAGCGGAGAAGTACCGAGGTCAACGGAGTCGGAACTTTAAAGGTCAACGCAGTCAGTCGTGAAGATAAGTGATGGACGACTCGTATGCTCAGAAGCACTTTTGGATTGATACGAGAAAAAGGATAATCTATACAATATTTAATTTTTTGGATTTTCCTTCGTTTTTGTGAATTATTTCAGAAGACAAAAATGTGTGGACATTTGTGGGAAGATGGGATGGAACGGTAAAGTTCAAGAGGAAAGATGGGGCAATCTGACCTTGTTGATATACCAATTAGAATTGAAATAAAATATAATTACATAAAAATATTTTTTTTTTTTTACAATTTTAATTTATATATTAATATTTAATTAAATTTTTGGAACCTAGTTACATTAGCACATAACAGATTTTTTTCACAGATTTATGATAGAATTATTACATTGATTTGCAATATCCTTTTACAAATAATCGATTTTCAATTTCAGAAACTCTCTTGATTGGGATAGGTCAATTCCAAGGGTTGTTTGTTATAGAACCCCTAAAAACATACTATCTACTAGTATTAGCAGTGTAATTGAAGAAGAACGTCCATACAACGAGAATCCTTAACGTAGTTAAGGTTTTCTTGTGTACATGTAATAGTGGTGTTGAATTGTAAGTTGCACTTACGTTGCCATAAGTTTATCTCGTATTTTTGTGGCTTGTATTATTTTGTTATTTCTTTTTTCCTTCTTATGCGTTTCTTGTGATTTATACTCTTGACCTTGTGTTTTGTATTTTTTCAATTTTCCCTCCTCTTTTTTTTCCTGAAGAAAGAGGTATTTATTTCAGTCCAACCGATGAGTACTTCCCCACTGTTTGTTTTGGATGGCAAATATGATGACTAATCGGGCCACTGCTTTTTTTGGGAGTGATTCTTGGAAGCACTTTGAAAGTATTTGTCATAATTCAGTAACCATGCCTTCTCAAAATCACTCTTAAACAGCTCTTATTTATAAGTATATTGGATTCAACATAATGCTAAGTATGTACAAAAACTCAAACCTATATATAAATCAATGAAGATTCTAGTATGCTTTGTTGTGCGACATTCATCGAATGAATGAAATGTTAGATGTACGGTCAATAATCCAATGTTTTACTGGAAAAATCCCGTAAATCAAAGACCTAATGTGAACAAATCTTTGAAAATGCATGACACCTAATTAATATGACCCCATATCATCATTATTTCATTCAAAACAAACGTGTTTATCACATCATAAAAATCATAGCTACCACATAAATTGGAGAGAAAATGTTGATTAATTATATAAGCCTTCTACAAAAGGTCACTAACTTCATGTCTTAAACGTGTGAAGTTAAGTACTTTGACAGATTTTCATTGGTAGGTAATCAAGAACACTCACTTAGTAATCATGGTTACCATCTTTACGTTTCTTATTAGTGACTATGCTCAAATTTTGGACATTTCAACTTCGAATTCTCCCTCTCATTGATGATAAACAAAATAAAAGATACAATAAAACTTCTAGAGTAACACTCTATAAAAAAAATAACTTCCTTAAAGTTTTAAAAAGATTTCGATCTCAACTTGGGACCAGTTTTTTATAGGAATAACTCCATTTTCTTGGTCCCATCTTAAAAAATAACTTGTACTGTTATCTCAGGAATCCTATTTAATTATACCTCTATTAAGTAATAACCTCTTTTAAAGTTATAAAATTGATTTGATTCCAACTTTTAACTTAATAAAAGTTACCATATATGGTTGATAACCAGTTACCCTTACCATGCACGAATCACAAAATGCCACTCAAACATATCACTTCATCGCATGTTTTTTTCCAGTCCAAAAATTTGAGGAAGGCACATTGATTGGCGAAACTGGGTTTGACTTTAGAGTATCTACTTATTTGGTTTGAGAAATTTTCTAATGTAATTATAAATCTTATTTTTTAGGATAGTACATCTTAAAAAATAACTTTCGTACTATCATCTCAGGAATCCTATTTAATTATACCTCTATTAAGTAATAACCTCTTTTAAAGTTATAAAATTGATTTGATTCCAACTTTTAACTTAATAAAAGTTACCATATATGGTTGATAACCAGTTACTCTTACCATGCACGAATCACAAAATGCCACTCAAACATATCACTTCATCGCATGTTTTTTTCCAGTCCAAAAATTTGAGGAGGGCACATTGACTGGCGAAACTGGGTTTGACTTTAGAGTATCTACTGATTTGGTTTGAGAAATTTTCTAATGTAATTATAAATCTTATTTTTTAGGATAGTACTGTAGACATCGAAATTTCGGTAAATAAATGTTGACCGATAAATCAAAGTGTCAACGCTCATGTATTACATAAATTTTACACGTAGCGTGTGACTCAACGAAAAATTGAAATGAGTTGGAAAAGTCATCAAATAGGACACGTGTCAACACCTGGCAGAAACGACTTATTTCATCTGGGATATTATATTCAAAATTAGGCCTTGGAAAATTCTATAAATACAAGCCCATTTCATTCATTTGGGGGAACCAATTCATATTACACCTTGAAGCTTTGAAGCTCTGAAACTCGGAAGCTCTCAAGCATCCAGGTTCCCGAAGAATCAAGAAAGCTCTCTTCGTTCTTCGTTCTTCGTCCATCGCTCTTTCAAGATCAAGCCCCAACGACCCTTTGGATCAACAATCATCCACCTTCAAGATCAAGCCCCGAAGGCCCTTGAAGAAAGTGTTCTTCGTTCATCGTCCTTCCAAGATCAAGCCCCAACGGCCCTTTGGATCAACAAACGTCGACAAAATCCACACATCCAACCGTTTCTTCAAGATCAAGCCCAAAAGCCCTTGAAGATCCGTTCATCACTGTTCTTCAAGATCAAGCCCAAAAGCCCTTGGAGATCCGTTCATCACTGTTCTTCAAAGATCAAGCCCAAAAGCCCCTTTGAAGATCCGCTCAAATCCACCTTCAAGATCAAGTCCGCGGCCCTTGAAGAACGTTCATCCTTAGATCAAGCCCAACGGCCCTTTGGATCAATCACACATCCATAAATACACACCTTACGGAGATTGAATCAGAGGATCAAAATAGAGAGAGATTGTAACCCAAAATCATCAAATACAAATATTTGTTTGTGCACGTTGTTCTTGTCTCTTTCATTCAGGAATTTTCCGTGTTCACAAATTGGCACGCCCAGTGGGACAATCTCTACCTCTCATCTCTTTCTCCGTTCAAGGAATCCAAGCACACCTCAAAGTCAATGGCATCAAGTAAGGGACAAGCCATTCTCGCAACCACTGAGGGAAGGATCCTAAGCACTTTTGCCATAAACGGACAATCCATTGACGCCACAACCGCTCCTCAACATGCCACTTTAAAGTTGGTGCCGCTAAAAGAGCAAGGGGAGCATCAAAGGTGTGAGTCTGTCATCAACCTGACCTCACTGGGGGCACCGAAGCATGCTGGTGAGGCACACAAGATGACACCCCAAAACAGCCAACAACGTTCTTCGTCAGCATCCTGGATGTCTAAAGGAAAGTCACGTTTATTGGTTGCACAAGTCATGACCATCGGCGTTACCTCCATCGAAGAACAACTAGCTCAAATGAATGAAGCGATCGCAAGGCTAACCCGAACTGTGGAAGAAAAAGACTTGCAAATTGCAGCACTCGTTAATCGACTAGAGGTGCAGGACGGCGATAAACCCGACCCAGAGAATGATCCACTAAAGAGAAGAGATGACGAAGAAGATGAGCCTCAGATGGAGAAAAACGATGCGAAGCCGAAGCCAGACCAAGCAGCGGCACTCATGGGATCTCTTTCTATCCAGCAACTGCAGGAGATGATCACCAACACCATCAAGTCACAGTACGAAGGGAGCTCACATACCTCTTTGTTCTACTCGAAGCCCTACTCCAAGAAGATCGACGCCTTAAGGATGCCGAGGGGCTATCAACCGCCGAAGTTTATGCAATTTGACGGAAAGGGAAACCCGAAGCAACATGTCGCACATTTCGTGGAAACCTGCAACAATGCAGGGACGGAGGGAGATTACCTCGCCAAGCAGTTTGTGCGCTCGTTAAAAGGAAACGCCTTTGAGTGGTACACGGACCTGGAGCCCGAGTCCATCAACAGCTGGGAACAGTTAGAGCGAGAATTCCTCAACCGCTTCTATAGCACCCGCCGCACTGTGAGCATGCTAGAGCTAACGAGCACAAAGCAGTGGAAGGACGAGCCAGTCATTGACTACATCAACAGATGGCGCACTCTAAGCCTCGACTGCAAAGATAGGCTCTCGGAGACCTCTTCAATTGAGATGTGCATCCAGGGCATGCAATGGGGTTTGCAATACATTCTTCAAGGCATCAAACCACGGACCTTCGAAGAGCTAGCCACTCG